TGAGGAGAAACAAGGCATTCCTCTTTCTGCAGCCTGAGCTGTTAAATCACTCCCCACCTCTTGTGAAACCTCACCCTACTCCATTCCCTGTTCCAGGCCTTCCTCACCGGCAACAGCAAGATCCAGGAGAGGCAGGTACCACCCACTCCTCTCCCCTTCCCCACAAACACACATGGTTCCCATTTGCCATAGGAAGGAGTAAGCACAAGGTAACGCTGGGTTTCCTGCACTCAAGTGGGGGCTAACTGGAAGCCAGAGGGGTGGGAGGACACTCACCTTGGCTGGGGTTGTTGAAATGGTTGTAATACTGAGACACGTAAGTCATAACGCTGAGGCAGTCGGGGACTTTCATGGAGACCATGTCATTGGGATCTAGGAGGGCCGGGATGCCCAGCTCCCGTTCTGCCAATTCAAAGGCCTACAGGAACAGCAGAGAGAGGTGTTAAGGATTGAAAACTGATGCTCTCTGAAAAATAACACAGAAATGAAGTTGCAAGGACCCTGGGGAAGGTTAAGTAGTAACTCTATGGCATCCCCAATGGACAGAGGCTCCCAGACATGCCACTTGACTGGAAAGGTGGCATAAGAAGCAAGGGAACAAGTTGCTGCTGCTGCCCTTTCCTCCAAGTCATTTCAGCTCCTGTGCCCCGGCAACTACCATCTGAGGGGTGCACTGGGACAGGGAGGGTACCTCTTGGGAGGTCTCAGTTTTCATTGGAAAAAAAACCCAGTGTTTTTTCAACCCATAAAACAGGCACACAACCAGCACCCCCATGCAAGAGCCCGGCAGAGCCTTGGCTGGCACTGTGAAGGGCCTAGGGCTCACGGACACTTCCAGTGACACGTCCAAACACCAGCTCTACTGAGCAGTGTCCCTGGCTACCCCAAACGCTCACCCCACAGAAACACCGATTCTGCCCATCCTTTCATGCTCTGGGGTACCACATCTTCGCCTCCCACACTTAACATAGGTACCCTGGCTCAAGAACCAGCAGCCCACCATGCACAAGACACTTCAGTACTTTTCTGTGTCTCAGCAAGCAGAAGTGACAAGGACATTTTGACAAGAAGCACACAGCTCCTGCAATTGCAGACACAGCTACTTGAAAGGAAGGAGTGAAGGAGGAAAATAGCTGTTTGAGAGCTTCCCACTTAGCGGTGCATGTGGATTACTGGCTATACACTAGCCATCCCACCGTTGTGGCAAGGGCAGCATACCCACATGGATCTCCAAGGGAGGGGGGATGTGCAACTATGGTAGGGAATGAAAAGAAAGAGAGTCAAGAGGGGATGAGTGGTGTGGGCGCTGAATGGTGACCAGGTGCAGGGCGTGGGTAAAGACTGAAGGCGCCTGGTCTCTGGGGCACAAGGTGCTGTGCAGGGCATGGGATCTAAAGAAAAGGAATGGAGAAATAAACAAAAAAGGGTATTTGCAGTAACTGGGGGGGGGGGGGGCTGAAAAACGCTCCATGCGGATAGGGGGGGGGGGGCATGTAAAACGCTCCCTGTGGATACCCAGCTCTGCTCAGCCTGGCTTTAAGCTGGTTCTCTGGACTAAGGCTTGCTGAACACAAGGCTGCAAGCAGTGGGGAGCAAGGAGAACCCAGCTTAGCGGTCACTAACAGGACAAGAAACCCATCATGTGGCTCTCAAATGGGAAAAGATAGCTGCTCTTGGCTGAAAGGGGCCAACTGGTGTAGGAAAGGGCGTGGTCAGGACCCAACTGGCGAGCCCGAATCCCAAAAACCCAAATGACCTAGCTCAACTCGTCTTGGGAAGGTGATGGCCCATGTCTCCCCACAGACCATTAGATGGACCCTGCAGCAATTAGGTCCTTCTTTACAGAAAAAGATGCCAAGACTATTGCTGCTCTGTCCTACCCCTAGCCCCTGTCCGTCCCCCACTGCCTGCTTCTGCTGTTGGCTCCAGCTGTCCCAAGCAGGAGGAGAACATTGCAGACCAGCCTAGGTCCAGCAGGACCTCCCTCTCTGCTTATGCCTGGAGCAAAACAAGCTTCCTGCTTCCATTGCCTGCAACTCTGGAATAGCTGAGGGCAAGAAGATGTTGCACCATTTTAATCTTCACCTCAGATGTTGCCTTGGCAACTATCAGGATAATCATCCTATCTTCTCTTCAGCACAGGCTGGAAGCTGTTTCAGATTCCCTTATGCTTCCGGAGAAGCTCCTGCCTGTTACTTACAGTCACAGATTTTTCTTACACCCTCACCACGTGCTATGTGACCTCCATCAAGTCATTCTCAAGTTTTCCTTCCGTGCAGTGCATAATGGGGACTTACCAAGCGGTTATTCTCATAGACATCATCCTTGGAGAGAGAATCAAAGTCTCTGAAATAAGAAAGCACAAAAAAGTCACATGAGGTGCAGAAGAAAAGTGCCCCAATGCCACCACACGCACGTTCTCAGGACAGCCAACCTTACAACAACTCAACATATAAGACCCTAGATAAACAAAACCTTGGCAAAGCAGATTTCAGGTTGTAAAGGGACAAAGAAACCAAAGGGAAATTGTGATTAAAAAAAGAAACCAAGTCCCAAATGGGTGGTGACCAGGAAATTAAAATGTCACTCTCGTCTCTCATTACCCGCTTCTTCTGCCCTTGCGATTAAAATCTGCAGAAATACCAGGGCCACGTTCTGATTAGCACCATGCACTGATGTGCTGAAGGGTGCACGACATCACCTTGAACTTGCCCCTCCAAGATCACCAGCACAACAGCGGGAGAAGGAAGGGAAGCAGGTCCCCCCACCTGAAGAGAAAGAACCATCTGCGCTAGATCTTTCCCTCCTACGAGACTCCTTAGACAAACCTCCCTGCACCACCTAGAGGCATTTGAGGTCACCCCAGGATTTGGGGTGACACAGAAACTGCACTTCCGTCCTCGCCCCCCAACACTCGCAGTACACAGCAAACTGTCCTCGGCTGCAGCCTTTATAGCAGGGCAGCTTGCTGAATGCAAGGCGCTCAGGGCACAGAGAGGAGCCCCAGCAGTTCCCAACCCCGGCATGTTGTGGCATTTCACTTGTTCCCCTGGATCCCTTTGGGGGACTGAATCAGCCCGGCTGCAGGGATCAACCAGCTGCCTTTGTCAGAGGAGCAGAGGGTGGAGGGTTAAAACAGTCTGCACGTTTTCAATAGAGGGGGAGAAATACAGGAAGGAGTGAGTTACGCCTTTTGCATGTGCGCGTGGGTATAATGCGTGAAAACAGCATCATGCTGCTAAACTGATTACAGCCTCTTCCTGCCAAGGATCTCAGCTTTGTTACCAAAAAACCCTCACGAAGCATCTTGGTGTGCTTGCGAGCAGGATATACATAGTCCAGAGAGGTTTAGGGTCAGGTGAAGCCAGCCTGATGGCCCAGAGAGAGGTGCCAAAGCTTGGGAGAACAACCAAGAAAGACAGTTCAGACTGGGGAGGGGAACATGTCCCCCACCCCAAAGGAACTGTGCAGGAATTGGGTGAGAGTGAATCCTCAGCCGTGGGCCTGTAGAGAGGGGCTGTGGGAGCCTTCCCTTCCTCCAACCACCTTTGGGTTTTATTGCCTTTTCCTGTAACGTGGACCCAACCCACCCCAGCGCCGCACCGCAGGGCAACCAGCCCCTTCTCGAAGCCCCTTGCATGCCTTTCGCAATGCTGCAGAGGAAGTCCGTGATGAGCTCAGGAAGATTTTCCCAGCTGTCTGCACCGCCATAAAACTACACTTCCCCCGTTCAAAAGCAAGAGGCTGCTGGTGCCGTTTCCTCCCAGATAAATGAAACTGCAGTGGCTTGCTGCTGTGGGAGCTAATGCGGCAGACACGCAGAAGATGGGCCAGACGTTCAGCTCTATGTTAAGCACCTTTCTGAAAGCTCATGCAAATACGTGCGCAGAACTCGGCCTGTTCAAAATACCACAACTTTTCCTTCTCCACGTGCTGGTGACAAAAGGCTTCAGCTGCAGCCTTCACTTTCACACAAAAACTAGTGCCTTTTTTGTATTTATGACTAGTTCCCAATGGGAGCTGTTTCTTCCCTACGTTGGTTTTTTTTTTTTTCCTAGAGAACTCCTGTAACTTTGCTGTATTTTTTTTTTTCCCCTTTAAAGAAAATACCGGCTTGGGAACACAGGAGAAGTGATGACAGCAAAGTTGATATATCAACTGCCCTCTAAACATTCACGACCTTCATTTTGAATGCCCTCACTTTCAGGATATGGGAGTGGTGCAGCTGGAAGCTCAAAGACTCCTTGGTGGCCTGGGCTGGGAGAGTATTTTTTGACAGACAAAAAAATCACGTCCATTCCACTCTGCCCCAGCAAACCAAAGCTGCTTTAGTAAACCAGGGCAAATCTGCCTGGGAAAGCAGATGCCAGCAGAGAGGACATGAAGCTCAAGAGGTAACAGGGGGTCTACCAAGCAGCGAGGGAATAGATTTTTTTCCACGAATGCAGGATTGCAGACTCTCAACTTTTACCCAAGATATTGAAGTCCATCAGTACGAGGCCCCAGTTTATTCAATCCTTCTCCACTGTGTTTTCCAGCTCCCTCTCCAAACAAGCCAAGCAGGACCGCACCGATCTCCATCATTCCCAACATGAGCACTCCCACGCGCCGCTCTGTCGTGTGGCATCCCTGCAGCTCTGGGCATGTTCCCTGTTCTAACGTGCAAGGACCACGGCCTCTCAGGCATGGGGGAAGGTCACCCCAGATGTACCCCTTTCCTCTCTATAAACTGCCTCCTCTGCAGAAAGACCAGAACTTGCCATCTCGCAGCTCCATGACATCTGGCTGCGTGTCACACTATTTCCTTGCCCTGATCTCAGCAGTCTTTCATCCAGCCCTGCTCAGGCTACTCTCCTGACAGCATACCAGTCCAAGGAATCGGATGTAAGAATAGGCGAGACTCTGGCTATCCCAGTTGAACAACTGTCTTGACTCAGCAAACCCCAGTGTCGTAGCATATCCTGGAGTAGTATTTCCATGCAAATAACATCCCAAGCGCTTACCTAATTAGATACATACAGAGCCACTAAGCACTCCGGGGTTTAGGGCAGCTGCCAGGGAGCACAGCAGACCCAGGGAAGGGGGAAGGGTGCGCCGTACAGCTAAAACCAGAGCAAATTCCTGGATTCCTCAAATATAAATCATGAGCACTTTAATGGCAGTGCCGCATAATAAGCCCTTCAGCTTTCCAGGTCTTGTCGGGGAAATGCAGGCAGTACATGGGGAGGAACAAATGAGATTTGTGATCCTGCCTGTAACTGAACCCACGGCTCTGGGGACACGAAACAGCGTTTCTAACACACAGCTTTCATCTCCTGTTTTCTGCAAGCCTCCATCTCTCTCAGCACTCGAAAGGCATGTGCCATGCTTTCTCATTCTTCTCACCCCTGAATGCCAAGAACCTCCCCTGAACTCTGGGGAGGTTGCACAGCTTGGGAAGCCGAAAGATGCTTTTTGCTTCACTAAGCTGTGGCAAATGCCTTGTAAACACTAATTTTGTTCTTTAGATTTCTAAAGCACTGAGCAAACAAACTCATTAATCCCCACAGTCCACTGTCAAGTTGCCCCGGATGCTTCCAGCTTAACTGACAAGGGAAAAGAAGAGATTAAATGTCTCGCCTCAAGATCACACAGCTAGTAGTGCAGTCAGAGGCTAAATCCATGTTTCTTGTTTCCCCGATTGGGAGAGGCAGGCAGTGAAACCAAGTGAGGTGCATACAGTAGCGGAGCTAGAGTCAGGGATTTTTCAGCTCCATGGTTCAACACACAGGTCCTGCAGGTATGCACCTCATCCACGGTGGTCAGTTCAAGATACCTTTATCTGGATTCAGTAGACACTGAGCACTTCCAGCCTACTTTCATTAAACCCCCCCCCCCCCCCCAAAACTCTAGTGTTTCCAATAGCTCTGCAGAAGCTGCTCCAAAGCTCTCCAGGGGAACATCGCTCTGATGCCACCTGTCTTATCCCAAGGCAATTGTGTTCAAACCAGGGGTCATGCAGAAAACCGTCCTCAGCCTCACTTACCCCTACAGCCTTTCACAATAGCCTCTTCCCCACCGTGCCACCTACCAGCGCAACAGTGGGGCGTCCAGGCAGGGCCAGACAACCAGGACAGACCAACAGCCACCACAGCAGCAAAAAAAAAAAGCCCGGAGGATCAGGGTGCCAGAGAAGCAGTGCCACACAGGCAGAGAAGAGAGCTCCAGCTCAGCTCTTGTATGGATGTGCTCATTCCTCCCGACCACGACCCAAGGGGAAGCCAGCAGGAAGCGGGGAAGCAGCTGAGTACAGAGGAACTTCAGCCTTTGGGGAGCACCGCGGCCATCTCACGCAGGCCAGGAGAGCCCCGCACAAAGGAAGACCACGCGAGGTCAGAAATGTACTCGCAGATCCCTGCCGAGTCCCATTACTGGGCTGACTGAAAGCACTTTAGAAGAAAAGAAGGGCAACCAGTTTTCCTCTGCTGTCAGGAGATTTACTGCCTCTGATCTGATCTTCCCACTTCCAAATCGGGACAGGCTGAAGAAGCTGGAATCAGATGAAATGATGCTACTCTTCTGACCACCCTCTGAAAATCCTTCTACAACATGCCATGTCCTTGTAAGGCCCTGGGCTTTGTCTCTACAATTCAGCTCATGCAAGGACCTGTGAAGCATTTAGTTAGGACATCTGCCAGGAGCAGATTTAAGCCCACTGACAACTTAAGAACAACGGCTGCTGCTTAATGGGATGGCAAATATGGTTAATGGAGAAGCATCAGGTGGTTTTAGTGGTGTTTGTCATAAGCTTTTGCTGGACCTCTGCTTTTCAGTTCCCAGTTACTGTGCTACTTACAAAAAAAAAAAAAAAAAAATCAGACACACAGTAATTGCAAGTGTTCCTGGCTTAATTTGCCTCTTCCCCTCCAGCAGCCTTGCAACTGGGAGTGTTTTCAGAGGGTCCGTCCTAGCTGGTCAGAGCGAGCCATACCATCCAGGAGCTGCTGGAACACAAGACCATGCAGCTCCCTCAAGACCCAGAGAGATGCAAAGCCACTGTACGTCTCAGCTCTTGGTGGTTCCCAAATGCCACACTGAGGGTTTTGTGGCAACCACCTGAAACACGGCAGGCAGCGGTTCGATTCCTAGCCTACCCGTTCAGCTTCTGCTTCTAAGAACACAGGCCTGTTTTGCCCTCTCATGGACACCGCAGACTCCACAGTGGAATCACTGTCAAACCTCTGTCTGCTAGAGATTTCTGTTGTGACAAAAGACTGTTCCGGAGCCAGCTAAGAAAAGAGGATTTGGTCAATTCAAGCAACCTTAGAGGAAGAACCACCAGTCCCAGAGCAGAAGGTGACTGGAGA